CGGCATTATTCAAATCATACCTGACTACAATTCTCGATATTAAAAAAACAAGGCCGCGAAGTGTGAAACGCTTAGCATCATAAGGTTCCGTAGATTATAATTGTTGCGGTGATTAATCTTCATTAACCGAAATAAACCTGTTGAAAATCATTTACGCTTTTGGTAAAAAATATATTTTAATTGATCCTTTTTGATTTGCAATCCAATACTTTTGCATATTTAAAATATTATAATATTATATACATACATATATATATGTGTAAATACGAGATAATCATATACAATCGTACGGGATGACGCTTTTCCTTTGCAGCTATTATATGACGGATAAACTAAAAATAAGCTTCCACATACAACTAAATAAATATTATCATAATGTTGACCTCTAAATCCCAGAAAAGGTTTCTCTTAAGCGTTTCTTTCTTTCAACAGGGCTTCGCATAAAATTTATGTTAATCACGAGATAATAATATCCGATAAAACATTGGCGCGGTTTGAATTTTTTCAGCAATCTCCTTCGGGATATTATGTATTATTCAACTTTTCTTCAACTTCTCGAAAATGGATGAAAGTACTTCAGATTTATTAATTGTAAAAATTATTAGTTAACATTTAACTATGTGGCTGCAGACTGAGAAGATTACGTTTAGACTGTTAAAATATATTTCGCTATGTTACTGATGAACTACTATTAACACAATTTTGTCACAGCTTAAAAGCTTAGATTAGTTACAAGATATTTATGACGCGTTATATAATCATCTACGAATCGGTTTACGGATCAATGAATAAATTATTAATAATTAAGTACTTTAGTTATAATCTATTGTTATTTGTGTCCAGTAATTAATTACAAATGTTTGCCTTCTGTAAACAGTGTAACTCACAAAATTATAATAATAATATTTTCCTCTATTTTCACCTTTCAGAGCGTCATGATTACAAGAACTCTGGGCCAATAATAATCATCAATTGTTGGTTTTATGTAATGGTGGTTTTTGGACTTTCAGCCAATAAATTCGCAGTAGCAGCCCGTTATTAGGAAGATAGCGGTGTTTTACCCCCCCCCCCCCCGTGCTTTGGAAAGCACGTAAAGACAAAGACGTTGTTTCGGTGCCTGATCTCACTTCAGTCGTTTCAGATTTCCATTCCATTGCACTATGAGAGACTATCCTCTGACACGAGAGCCGTGTATAAAAGCATTTAGTACTCGCCTTGTGGGCGTCGTAAGAGACGAGGGAGGGAAGCTGAAACGGGGGCTCAGGCAGCAGCATCTTTCTGAAAACAATTTAAACGATTAAAAAAAAATCTTACGTGGTAGAGCCATGCTGCAGTTATATTAGTAATATAGTTGTAACACGAATGGGTCGGCTCGACCGGGGAGGGACCACGCTCTCACAGATTATCAGCGTAAAATAGTAGCTTAATTTTGCTGTGTTTCGTATGTTGAGTGTAGAGAACTGGAGACCCTTTTTTCTGGAAACGATGTATACCACCGAAGTCCTCACGGATAAAACGCATCTGCATTTTGATTTGTAATGGAGGATAGATGTACCTAGATGTCTATGGACCACAGAAACCACTTACCATCAGGTGGACTGTGTGCTCATTTGTCATCCTATCCTATATTAAAAAAATGCTAATAAAAATAAAACGTGTTTGTCAACCCGCCTACCAAGTGTGGCCACTATAACAAAATTGGGGGTATTTCGGTATAATTTCCACGTGAATCAATCTGTGGGAGGCCTATGTTCAGTAGTGTACTTTATAGGTTGTAATGGATAATAATGGATGAACTACGAGATGAGGAAATAGAAAATGCACTTGTGCTTGTGCCTACACTTGTGTACTATAAGTCTGTGCTGCGCAGAAGGCTGCCCTTCGTAGAAACTTGTCTTGCGAAGGCTAGTCGCCGTTGAGACTGGGAGTCGAGACCGGATTCTATCATCGTCAACCGTTTTGCAGATTTTTTAGTCGTCCTTAGCAGTATACAGCGCCTATATTATAACTTGATTGTTTCCAAGTAAACACTTTATCTTTTAATCCTATAAAGCTAAATGTGTCAAATTTATGAAGTGTTATTCTAAAAAACGATCAAATGTTTGCAAAATAATAAGTAATATTTTATTTAACAAATATAAGTTCACATTTGGGACTTAGTGGTATAATACCTTAGTGGTTTTATACGAAGAGCCTTGCTGCAGTTATATTAGTAGTATAGTTGTAGCATGAATGGGTTGGCTCGACCGGAGAAGGATCATGTTCTCACAGAATACCAGCGTAAAATAGTAGCTTAATGCTGCTGTGTTTCGTATGGAGAGTGTAGAGAACCGGTGACTCTTTTTAGTGGAAACGAGGCATTCCATCTTAGACCTCACGGGTGACACCACATCTGCATTTTGATTCGTAATCGAGGATATATGTAGATGTCTATGGGCCACAGCAACCACTTACCAAAAGGTGGAGTATGTGCTCGTTTGTCACACTATCCTATAAAAAAACCATAGCTAATAAGTTTAGTTTTGTTTGCTTAAGTTTCTATACAGATAAAATATAAGAAATGTTCTTATGTCCTTATGTGATATGAAACTATTTTGATTATGAAGAGCAGGGCAGTACCGGCAGTTAACAATGTTACGTCTCGTCATTCGTTTAGGATTCTAACTGTTAAAATAAAATATTTTTTAAACATTTTCAGGTCATTAAATTTTTTTATAAAATAAGGGTAAGAGCACACAGTCCATCTGATTGTAAGTTGATGCTGTGGTTCATAGACATCTACATCTATCCTTGATTAAGAATCAAAATGTAAATGCGTTGCCATCCCTGAGGACTAAGATGTAATAAATATATAAATATGATAATGTACATGGATACATTATGATATTTATTTTAAGTAATATTTTTAAACAATTCATAAGGTTTATATTCTTGCAGAAATTGAGCCGAAAAGGATAGGTACTAGATTATTAATAAATTCAAAACCCTATAGTGCACAAGTAATAAAATCTTTGGTATATAAGAAGATTTATTTAAAAAAAATGAAAGTGGGTGTAGACTTTATTAGGTATTTCTATTATAAGTTCGCTTTCATATAAAACTAACACATAAATGTAATACGGTAAAATAAATCTTTGCAAGTTAGAGAGCAGCTAAGGTCCCAGGAGACACGAAGCTCGATTTTCGTAATATCAACTTAACTGACTAGAATAATATTGGGAATTATCTCTCTTTTATCTTAGAAAACAAGATTGAACCGTATGTATTGATCATATTTTCTGGAATTTCGAACAATTTTATAAGAAATTATTTCATTTCATAGCTATGTAGGTAGGTATGAAACAAAATTGTTGAAACAACAAGATAGCACACCATCTGGATGCTTGGCGGTCCACCACTGTACGTTACACAAGGAGTTTTCTTCCGCGTACGACCTGTCTGTGGAATAGTTTACCACCGGCGATTTTTCCGGACCGATACGATCTGGAGACCTTCAAGAAAAGAGCTTACTCCTTTCTAAAGGGCCGGCAACGCACCTGCAATTCCCTGATTATGGGCGGCGGTAGTCACTTAAGGGGATAGAGTAAGTCAGCTCAAATTCTAATTTCGTCCCCACTTGCCCGCGCGTCGTATGCTATGTACCGACATGTTTGTAATCACTAATACTGTAAGTAGAAAGGTCGTTAGACACTTATTTCATTAGGTTTATCATATTTATGCCTGTTTCTTAACGCCAAGCCAGTCGCTTCTTATTTTTATTACGGTTATTTGCCATTTTAATTTTACGTCGTCCTGTTGCGTAATGTATATTCTGATCGTAAGCGACACAACCTCCCCGTTCAAAGGCCGAAGCGAAGTGACCGTACGGCAGGAATCACGCTTCAAAAGGCCGATAGTTTAGGTAATTTCTTTTTACAGTGAAAATAATGGTATTTAAAAAAAAGTAAATAACATAAGCACTGCTTTATAGTTAGTTCAGTTAGTATGCAAAGTTTCATGATCTTATTTAAAGTATTTTATGAATAACAGCGGTTTATTTTTTATTTTAGAGGTAACTTTGGATTTTTTTTCTATCGAGAAAATTTTATGAAATCGTGTTTTCGTCTAACATAATCCATAACATTAATCCTCAACTTTACCATATATTTATTTCATAATTAATGCTGCAATATTTTCGGTATAACGAAGGATCTTGATAAGCCATTTGATTTCCCCTTAAAATCAGGTGAGTCGCATGCTCGTTTGCCCCTTCTTCTATTAAAAAAGATAGAGGGTCTTCCTAGTAGATGGAGTAACGACCTGGTAAGACATGTAGGAAGCCCATGAATTATGATGATAATACCGAAAATGATGACGGTGTAACAAACTTGTCATTATTTCATCAAATACCTTCAAGCGCTTAGGTTATAGCATCACATAGGATTACAAACCAAAGGAGGCTCAAACATATAAACAAAAATCTGCTAAACTTAAAATATTTGAGAAATTTAAAAATTTTAGTTTCTTATACTTAATATACCTTTTTATTTTTTTTACAAAAAAACACCTACATGATATCTATTTGTTCGTAAAGCAAAATTATATAAAAACATTAATAAAAATTTCGAATATTCGAGTAAATTAATAATTAATAAAAAATAATATGTTCGCACTTAAGATTTTGTATTAAGGTTTGTTCAAGTTTATTTCCTATTTCATGCACATCATAACTTCATCAGCTATGGCTATAAATTGTAATTTCTTGTTCAGTATGAGCTACGATATATCACCTGCCACCCCGCAGCGTATCCTGCGGTATCCCTTTACTGTCTCTCCTGGGAGCCTTGAGATATTTGAGAAACTTTATAGCTTTTATGTTATTCTCATGCAATTTCCTATTTATATGCAGAATGGTCTGACGAGTTTTGCATATTAAGTGATCCGACGAATTCAGTTCCTGCAAATTAATAAATATCGGTAAGTTTTTGTGAGAAAAAAACGTGGATACTCTACAGTGAAAAATGCTCTTTAATACTCCGGTAAGCGAAATGTAGGATAGCCCCTAGATTGAGTAACAACCATGCTCTATGCTCTATGGCGTTCCTTGGGGGAGGCCTATGTTCATCAATGGAGTTATGGAAGACAGTAATGATGATTATGATGACGATGATAAAACACTCTTTGTTAAATTTAAATAAATTGTGAAAAGAATTGTGGTGTGTGTGTGTGTGTGTGTGAGAGAGAGAGAGAGAGAGAGAGAGAGAGAGAGATAGAGAGAGAGAGAGAGTGAGTGTGTGTGTTTTTCGTGATAGAGCCATATTATGACTGAAGCTATATTATAGTTGCAGTACGAATGGGTCGACTCAATGCTGCTCTGTTTCGAATAATTAGTGTATAGAATCTGATACCTTTTTGACTGGAAACGAGGCATTTCATCTTAGTCCTCAGGGTAGACGACGCATCTGCATTTAAATAAATATAAATGTAGTATGATTCTTAATTATTAAATATAAATGTAGATGTCTATGGGCCACAGCATCCAGTTACCATCAGGTGGGCTCTGTGTTCGCTTGTTACCATTATTCTATAAAAAAATCTATTATATATCCTAAAGTATAAATATAAACGTAAATTCAAGCAGAAATTTATTATCTCTTACCTCTAAATATCGTGGATATACCTTAATAATTTTGCGCAGAATTATCTTAAAATTATTCATTATTTATATGCAGTCAAATTATACGATGAAAATAAAATAATAATGTATCCGTAATAAAATAATAATAATGATATCCGAACTTTAAACCAAGCGAGAGACGCGATCTAATATTTCTCAGAGAAAGCTTTCGACTTTTTGTATGTAGAATTCACGTGAATACACCTCTATTTGCTTTTCGCCTTGTCTTACATCCGACCTGAGTTATGAACGAGCATAATGTATTCATTGAATTTCAATACCCCAGCATATAAATAAATATATTACATATAATTTATAACTTTATAACACTAGTATTATTTTATATGTTGTTTTTTTTTTAAATTACTTAGTTCTTAGTGGTTTATTCTTCGCGATATTCTTAAAACAATTGTAGTAAAAAAACAGCTTTGACAATATCACAATATGCAAAATGCATTATAAGCACCGGTCTCTCTCATCAAATCAAACAACTTTGGGTAGGTACCCACTGAACTCTCGTCGTAAAAAAAGACCGGTTCCATACGCGTCGGCGATTAAGTGATCTTCCCGCTGTCCACCGATTTCGGGTTAATTTCTTCATTCGGTTCGTCCCTTGCATTTTTGTTACTTTTACGGCATCTCACGGCACCACAATTTCTCTAATGGGACTTCTTGTAAGGGCAGTGTAAGTGGTAATCGAAATACATCTTAATAATCTTGGTAATGGAGGGACTTGTCTTCGAGTCTATCAAAAATCATAACGTTAGAGAGAAATATTGATGAAACAGTAAATGAAGTTACAAAAGCTATTTCCCGACTATTCGATGTCGATCACAGTGAGGCGCACATAGTGATATAAATAAAAATGTATTATGTTTTGCTGGAAATCATAATTCCAATGTAAATACGAGTTGTTTATCTATCATATTTGAATCATAATTAAATATACGTTTTTTCGCTAAAAATGGTTTTGCTAAGGTGAGCCGCATGCCCGTTTGTCCCCTCTTCTATAAAAAAGTGGAGTTTGAATTAATACCGGTGCAAATGTCCTTTTCTTCTATGCTATTTTATAAGTCCATTGCTGAACATAGTAGGATTCCTCCATAGATTGCCACAAAGTACGGTCCTTATACAACTTAAACCATTAATTACTTGCGTGTTTTATCATCTTATCACTCCTTCTAGAGGAGGGCCACCCAATACAGCATTTTCCAGCCACTATATAGCCGGCCCATTGCCACTTCAGCTTATTGACCCGCTCGGCTATGTCAGTTACTCTTCTTTTATTCTCGTCTGCGATATCCTCGTAACTGATTTTATTACGAGCAGGGAAAGTACGAGCATAGCCCATTACATATTACACTGAACTGGGTAACTTTAAATTTCCCTATACATTTTTACAGTCTTCTATAAATTCATTAATTACGTACAGGCCTTTTCAATATTGCGTTAACGGCTGCTAATGCGCAGGCGTGCTGAAAAGGTTGTCATCTAGAGGAAAATTTGGTACGCCCCTCTTATACCGCTTTTTTCCATATTTTTTTAAACCCTCGTACCCTAATTATTTGATTAGTACTAAAATGGAACGAATTCTCGTTATCTCCAACACTGGATAGTTAATAAATGCAAGTTGTTTTTTAAACCCATGAAAATCAAAAGAAGTATTTTTATGAAGATATGCACATAATACACTTTTTTATATTTCCGTAAATAATTCTCTGTCAATTTTTCTCAAACAATAGTTTTAAATATTTAAATTAAGTTCGATGTTGATGTGAAACATTTACATTACTGCTGATTTGATGCCTTCTTAAACTCTTTTCTTTATATTATTATCCACAGTAAAGAAATCTTATCTCGCCTAAGGGCACGCAACATTAATCTTATTACACGGTCGAGAGCTACGACCCTGTCAGTGGAGGTTCGAATCTGTTACACGCCTGCCTATCCTGACAATCTCGGATTCCGATTCGTTCGTGAGCTAGATGTCATAGTGACGTTTTTATCTTTAAAATTATTAAAAGCTTCTTTATGACTTAACCTTTACATTTTTGTATGATTGTTTTATGTATAGTTACCTATTATTTGATACAATATTCTTACATTTTTGTCGAGTAATATTACACTATGTATATTACACAGGTTATGCTTATGTTGTATTATTCTAATCTGAATTTTACCCACAGTATGGTATCATTCATAAAAATTTTTCACTTTACTACGATCCTGATGAGATGAGATGTAGTCCGCTTTCGATATGTGCAACTACGTGCGTATACACATATCAAAAATATTTTCATAGCCACGTATCATTGACAGAACCTGTATCATATTTTAGTACGCTAGACGTAAAATACCCAGACTGACGACGGGGTGTGGTTTAAAAAAAAGGGGAAAATCTGTTACAACGATTGCAAATCCACATCCTAAATATAATGATAACAGCAGATTCTTTCTGAATGCCTGACGATAGGCAGATAAAAATGGAGCATTTATAACCAAAAAAAAAGGGAAGACGTTAAGCCACAAACAGCTATAAACTTCTTACATCTCTTGAAGGAGGGTTGAGATATAACGCATAAATCAACTAATAAAACTATTGACTGTTAAACCTGTATACAATAATTTGATTCAAAATAGTAGAGTGCCGTAAATAAATCTAAATTAGACTATAAGCCGTTTCGATAGAACAATTTAATGACGTCCAATATTTTAATACTATTATTGTATTGGCTGGAATCGTAAATTTGTTAGTGTAACCAACAATGCTATTAAGTGCTGTCCTGTTTGTTAATACCCCGTTCCCTTTACTTTTGTTTCGCCTGAACTCACTCGGTAATAAACGAGGTGGCAGATCGTAAAACTCGGCGTTATCGGCATTTGTCCGAGTTTGTTTATAGCCTAACTGGATTACCGGTTGTGATTGATTCGACTTCCTCCAAATAAATATCGGCATTACTAATCTAAAGGACACTGTCAAACTGAATGTTTTATACTACGATGTAGAGTTAAAAAAGAGATGATTTAAAGATCTAATTTGATAAGAAGTTGTTTAAATTTATAGTTTAAAGTTTAAAAATTTTCGGTGCCATAAATGTTTTAAGTTTGGGGAATAAATTTGTCTCAGTTTTATTATAGTAAGATTGTGAGTCATATATTAAAATGTTTGTGATGAATAAAAAACTTTTTCTAATCAAATCAGTCCGGAGCAAATGGATATTGGTTGCCGACAAAACACATGTAAAGCACCGGTTACCGATGAACTAAATGACGCTACATTATAGTTGCTTGTGATCGATTAAACTTTAATTTTTACATGTGACTTCAAACTTTATTTCAAATGTATTATAGTGCGATTTGCAATGAAATTTTTAAATCTATTATATTTCGATGTTTTCTTCTAAAAGCTTGTGGTACAAGTCTTCCCTCGCTTAGTTAATTAAGACATGTATTATCAAACGTTTTGAAGCAGTAAATAAAATTGTAATCTTCCATTCTAAGAGTATAGGCGTCTCTATAACACGCCTTTATCTTGAAATGGTTAGCCGTAACGCATAACGTTTCTTTGATCCCACACCTACACGTTTATTTAAGCTGTAATAATCTTCCATTAATACTAATGCAGTGTCAATTTTAATGTATCTCTAGATAAAGCATCTAAAAAGCCAAAAAAATCATACAAGTCAATCCAGTGTATTCTTTGCTTTAAAATATTTAATTTTCATGTTTACAGGTAATCTGCTGTATCGTTTCGATTCCAACCTTATCAACATTTAAAGGTAATTGTTTTTAATTTACTTTTGTAATTTAAAAGTCGTTAACTGTGAGAAACATTTGATTTTTTCCAAATTTTTACTACTCCAGTAAGTAACTTTTTAATCGTTCCTTTTTTCAATTTTCTCGTACTTCAGCGTGCACACTTAATTTTAAGAAAAGTTCGGAAGATATAAGTCATGTCGAAACTTTTTGTTATACAAAGCAAAACGCGAACTTCTGAGCAAACTGATTAAATACTTTAATCTTTATTTACTGAGACGTTTGTACGTACAATTTCGTTTTAGGATTTATCTTTCTACTTTAAATGAGATCAAGTTACGAGTTTCTAGAATTGTTCTAATGTTGTAATTTCATTTTTGATTTATGTTTGATTCTATAAATATTGTATGGTTTAGCAATATCTGTGATATGAAGGAAATAAACTTTTTTAGTACTCAATTACTTAAGATCTTTTATTAATTATTTTATTTGAGTATATACGTAAATATATTAGTAGAAAAAATGTGTTGACATTTTTAGTTATCTTCGTTGATGAAAACGAATAATTCGATTTCGATTCGATACGAAAATATTTGGTATCTATTGCAGCCAAACAAATATTGTTTTCTCAAAAAACGTTAACATATTTTTAAAACGTCAGTCATTGTGTCCTTGTTATAATGTTATCAAATAATACGTACGTAATTTAACATGTTTTGGTATGTCATATTTTCGAACCATACAACTTTTTTCATTTTATTTTTAATACCAACTTACCTAATGGATCAAGTTCCGAGATTGATAGAAATTTATTATAATTATGCAATTCACGACCTTATGCTCCAACAAATAAAAGTAGTTACTTAGCTGATCAACTGTAAATAAAAACTGGTTTGATGTTAAGTGAAGAAGTCATTTCTACGTTGTCACTGATGGATTTTCAAATATTGACCGCCTCGGCCATTATCTGTGGGAGCGTGTCGGCCTAACGCAGCTTTGATAACGAAGTGTCGCCACCCTTAAAAAACGTACTGTTTGTTATTCGGTCTGTGTTTGTAGAATGCTGCGGATATAAGGTGCGGAAACTTTTTGTATTAAAAATGGATGATCGTTGAGGTGCTATCGCGTTACGCGTAATATTTACTGTCTTATATATTATGTAATAATTAATGACTCGATTGTGTTTTTTTTTTTAAGTATGTTGATAATTTTATACAAGAAAGTATAACGCGAAGACAAATACTTATATAGATACAAGCTTACCAGGCAAACGTTGTTCTGCCCTATTCGACGACCCTTTGTCATGTCCTATTAAAATCCGTAAATTCGCAAAAAAATTGTGGGTCACTCATGGGTAAAAACTATCCTATCTCTCAAGTTGGACCAAACTACACACGGTGTGCAAATTTGATTAAAATCGGTTAAGTACTTTAGGAGTCCATCGCGAACAAACAACGTGACGCGTAATTTATATATATTATGATTTTACATATTGTTATAGACGTGGCTTAAAAAGCAACTTTACATATGTACAAGGGTAATTAATAAATAAAGTAATTAATGATTTTGTCTATTTAACACGTAATCAAAAATTAAAATATAATTTAACACAATGTCATAAATCTGTAACGCGACTCGCACATGTGCTGAGTAAGGGCATACAGGAGATATTAATTACAGGCTCGACAATCATCTGACTTAAGGAATTCCCAGTGTGTATTTCAACGCTTTAATTGGGAACAAATGTGCTGATAGCCGGTTTCATATTTTGTCTGAAGAAATTACGTATTGCCGTTCATAATGACTAGGTAATAGTATACTGATATTTTATAAAATACATTATTATTATGTTTTTGAGTAATGCTATTAAATAAAGACTCCTTGGCAATAAACTGAATTCGATAATTAAAACTCCACACACTTTGACATGCTAATACGCCTTAAATAACAGAAGATTCATAATTTGATTTTTTCTATAATATTACCTACCTATGGGTAAAAATTCATAAATTATAAAAATAGAAATCATTTAAATATTTATATCTTTAATTCAATAAAGTTTTCTTTATCAAAAAATAATGTAAAATATCTTCCATCCTCATTAGAAATAATATTCTTAGATCTATGTTAGAAGCATTTTAATTGGACATAAATTCAAAAAGTTAGATTCTTTAAAAAAATATTTTTATTACGATGACAGAATTTTTGCTAAGGGTACACCTTTGTCATGGAAGGCTAGTAGTAAAGTGTTAAAACTTTGATTATAATTGTTGCAAATGGACGGACACAAAGACCTACATAAATCATTAAGTAAATACCCAATAAGAAGATACTTATCTCGCATCATCATCCCGGTGTAACTCAACGAGAAATCCGATTAATACAACAATATAGTTAATTGCGTCGGCCGCCACTATCCGGCTGTGGAAATTGAGCGAGTGGATTCGTTGCAGCGTATTCATATTAAAGATTTCAACTTGACATTAAACTCTCATTTGTGATGCTCAGTTGATGAGCCCTTTGGCTAAAAGCGTATCTTTTCTTTTAGTTTCATTTCACATACAAAAACTGATTCAGTTTTACAATTAAGTACACGATCCTCATACTTGCACTAATTTAAAAACAAAGTACGTACTACTGGTAATTATTTTGTTTTATGTTGGAAAATTTTAAATTTTTTTAATATTATTTTTAAAGATTACAACAGCTAAGCTTAACAATAAATCGGGAATTAAAAATAAAAATAATTAAAATTAAAATTAAACGCGATAAAATCCGTAAAAGTAGTTTTAATCAATTTGTATATTTGTAAATAATAAATAAAAATCTACGTAAATACTAGAAAAACAGCAACAGCCCAAGGGCTTAGAAATCGCTTTTACACACGCAACAATTTTACTTTCATAATAAGCGGACAATTCTAGCATAAACCCCGCCGGCATGACTAAATTTGTTAATCACCCTTAGAACTTCCGTCTTTGCCACATGCTACACTGTGGAAAAAAATACCGTGAAGAAATTCCCATAACGTAAAAATCAAAATATTTCCTAACATATTTTTTATTTTTGAATCCGGGCAGCAGTCTTCCATACCGGTGTATGAAAGACTGCCGCACAGATTCAAAAATCTCTCTCAAAAAGAGAGGATGCCTGAGTCTAGCAGTATTTAGGTTGTTAAATTGGTTTTCTAGTTTTATGCTAAATTTTTCAATATTTCGATAAAATGTATTCATAAGATAAAATAAAACAAAACAAACATTACATTTGCTTGAATAAAATAGTTCGAATTAGTTTATGGTTTATTTGATAGATAACTTTATGTGACGATTGAAAAATTAACTCTAATTACTATAAAAAGTAACAATATCCAAATCATTGTGTGGCTACCTTATGAGACGATAGAGGAAAATGAAACGGGATATAGGTAGCAGCATATAACAACTCACTTTACAATAAAACACTGCGGTTACCAATTCAGGTTCCTGCTGAGTGTAGCAACAATGACTGTAAGGCAATCTATGGCAGAGGCCTATACTCAACAGCAGACTTTGATTTCTCTGTAATAATGATAATAATATAAAATTATCGGCTATACCACCTACACCACTTACCGTCGAGAAGGGATAAATCTCAAGCAAGTTTATAGTAGGTAAAAATTAGTTAACTAAAATACTAAAGTAAACCAACAAAATATAATATAGAATGTTAATTGGTAGCATTATGAATATAATAACGTTTATTATAATCACGTCGATAATGACGAAATTTAAGAGGATCGAATGTGAAATCGTTAATTACTCACCCTTCACTTTACAAGTAATTAAAATTAATACCGTCAGCAAAACAAACTCGTGTTGCCGTCCCGGCGAACGTTAAAAACAACTTAAGTTTTCGTGTCTCGTTCGAGCGCAAATTACAAGGCATCCTGCTGTGTACAAAACAATTGAACAAAACAGCCGGACTGTTGTAATTACCACTTCTTGTTTCTTCCTTTAAATCGATATGTTAATCGAGAGAAAGGTATTCCGATAAATAATATTTTTAACGATCGTGTCATTTTAAGTCAGAGTATTTATTACATACACGCTCGCTATATATATATATATATATATATATATATATATATATATATATATATATATATATATATATATATATATATATATGTATGTATGTATATATTATATAGCCATTCTGCAGTTTAGTAGTATAGTTGTAACACGAATAGGTCGGCTCGAACGGGAAAGGATCATGCTCTCACAGAATGCCAGCGTAAAATAGCTGCTTAACGTTGCTGTGTTTCGTATGGTGAGAGTAGAGAACCGGATACCCGTTTTACTGGAAACGAGGCATTCCATCTTAGTCCTCACGGGTGACAACACATTTGAGTTTTGATTTGTAAACGAGGATAGATGTAGATGTCCATGAGCCACAGCAACCACTTACCATCAAGTGGACTGTGTGCTCGTTTGTCACCTATCCTATAAAAAACACGTTTTTTACGAGACATGAGCAGTTTTTTAAAGTAAACTAACCTTAAAGACATAGTTACTGTAAATTATGTTACAATATTTCTATTCTATGATTAAAATAGTCCAGGAGGAATCAGCGCATTAGTATTGAAAACTATTCCACATCTTTTTTTAATGTAATTCTCTTCAAATTGTCCTACTGATGATATAAATGCATGTTTATTTCTTTATTGTATTCCTTATAATAAAAGAAAACAAAGGGCAGACTTAATGCCTTGACGCATTCCCTATCAGTCAACCCACGAAGTGGTGAGAATTTGACGGGGGTGTAGCGATATTGAATAAAAACAAAATAAAAATGATAAATAACTACGTAATATATACATTTTACTAATATACAAAACAAATAAATTATACAAATGTCCCCTATTTATACATATATACAAATATACATATATTAATATACATATAAAAACTATGTATATATATCCGTTGACAATATAAATGACATGGATGATTTATGTAAGAAGCGTTGTCTTTAATAGATGAAT